TTTCCTCTGTTTCTCGTTCTCTTATCTGCCTAAGCGGTGCTGTGTCTTCCTGTTCCAGGGCTTCTTCAGACGGAGTATCCAGAAGAACATGGTCTACACCTGCCACCGGGACAAGAACTGTCAGATCAACAAGGTCACACGCAACCGCTGCCAGTACTGCCGGCTCCAGAAGTGCTTCGAGGTCGGCATGTCCAAGGAGGGTGAGTGTCCGTGGCCAGAAACTCGCTAGGTAATACCTGAGCAAGAGCAGACATGCGCGTTGCCGAGGCAACACCAAGTTTCTGGCAAGGCTATTCTTAAGAAGAATGTTCAGTGCCATTCCTGGGACTTATCACTCAAATAGATGGGTGAGTGTTGGAGCACTTGAATCTTTCAGGCCTAGTCCGGTCTTTCACCTTTAACCACTAGCCCTCAGCACACCCTCCCCATCTCTCCCAGTCTGTTAGCTCCGATCTCCAAAAGCGGTGGCAGTTCTGCTCCGCACTCCCCCAGTATGAGACAGCAGAATCGGAGGAAATGCGTAGGGGTGGGAGGGATTGTGACACCAGTCTCAATAAACACAGTTTCAAAACCCGACCGGCTGTTTCCTGTATTACTCGGAAACGTCAGTCGTCCTCGCAGAAAAGCAGAATTTTTAGGAACGCTGAGTTATGATTTCCTCAGCTCTGTTTTCCCTGCATAGTTTGTGATTTAGCTATAATAATCTTGCCTATATGTCACCGCCGTCACTGTCTTCTTTAATAACAATGATAAAAACAACAACAACAATAATAATAATAATAATAATAATAATAATAATAATAATAATATCACCTGGGTTTCTTCCGGGTGCCCTGGTTTCCAAGGACATACTGGTAGATCAGTTAACATTGGGGTAAACTGGACCTGGTGTGAGTGTGTCTCTGACTGTGTGTGCCCTGAGATGGATTGGTGTCTGTCCAGGTTGTACCCAGCCTTGCGCCCATTGGTTGCTGAGATAGGGTCCGGAGATAAGAGCTTAGAAAATGGATGGATAGATAATAATAAAATTATCATTTCAAAAATCAAAAGAATAATTTTGCAGATTGTATTCAAAGCAGTTGCTGACACATAATCAATTCAGCTCTTGTACGTCTCACCTGAAGGACGGTGCTCAAGGTGGTTCAATATTTTGGTCAGGACAGACAGTGTCAGTGACAGAGCTGGGACTTGAACTGGTAACGTCCTGGTATTAAACCCTTTTCTGTAACTACTGGAAAACTTGTCCTCCATTGTAAGCATTGCTCCTGCTACTCATACAGATGAATATGAACTTTGCAAAATACTGACCATAGTTTATTCTTCCATATATCAATTACTCAAACATCGATTTGCAAACACAACCCAGATAAAAAGCTCTGTGATAGTATTTCAGTATCGTGCACCTGACAAAACAGAACAACAAAAAGGTAAATTAACACTTGCACATATCATATTTGAAAATTTTGTTGAAAAACATTAAGCCTAAGTCACGCCTTTTAAAAGAAGTAGATACTGTATACCGTAGATTCTGCAGCAGTAATCGGAAACACTAGTTACACAACAGGACTTTGTTACTTAAAATTATTACACATCTTTGAAAGACTAAGGTCAACACCCACTGACGTATAAAGATTCCTATTATTCATCATTGCATAAAATACATATTCTGAAACATCCTGGTGTCGCAGAAACCCAGAAATTGATTTTATTTCAAACCTGTAAATTAAATATCTAGGCCCACAAATTATATTTATTTTTATATCCTACATTTTTCCATATATTAGTTGTTAATGAAAGAAGCTCACAGCTATGGCCCATGCACCAAGGCAAGAAAGGAAATACGGACTCGCTGAAACAAGCACTATCATCATCTGCTACTCTTTACACTCGGAGCCCTGCAGCACAAATACTGCAAGAGCACAGGTGCTCGATAAACCAGAGGGGTCTCTGCTTCATGAGGAGCTACTGGAGAGCTGGGCAGCCTCAGACCCACCTGAGTGCTCCCGCCTGGGAAATCCCAGTCACGGCTAACTGTGCGTGCAACCCAAATCCGATCACTCTGGACTCCAGGGCCGGATCTGTTCTTTACTGCTTGAGCCACTCTCAAGCCCCATAGAAAAGAAAAGTTAGAGCTCAGTGTATTTTTAAATATGTCATTCTATCCCTGACCTACCATCCACTTTGTTACCATCTTGGTCAGTAACTCCACTGAGATATACGGTTTCAGGTTATTATGTCAAGCAGCACAGTAATGTATAATCAGAGGGTGTATTTTTCGTTTTTTGAAAACCCTAAAAACAAACCAGAAGTATTTTTTGTGTGTGTATTTTTAGACTTTTCAGCCTTTTTTATTGCCTGTTTATTTTCAAAGTCAGAAAAGAAACACGGTAAAATGGACAGGTCATATTTTGGCTGGGTAGTCAAGGCAGCTGCTGTCACCTCAGAGCTGTGCTGTATCAGCAGCCTGTGGGTGGAAAGGACTTTATTGAGGGTTAAGTGGAATCTGGAAGATCATAAAGGCCTATTTCAGGACCACAGTTTACTGTGCTTGTTGCCACTGAGTCACATTTTCTGATTTTTCCTCCCTCTCTCTGTTCTTTCTTTTGGTCTCTCATTTCTGCCCGTCCTGTGGCACTTTTGCAGTTTTATCGTGGTTTTATCACAACTAAACATGTATTTCCTTTTCCATAGCTTGGATCTTTACCTTACTTCTCTATCCTTTATACTTTTTCAACTTGGTTTACTATATTTCTGCCCTGACACACGACAGTGTAAGAGTGGTCTTAGTGATGTGCATACCACAGTATTCGGATGAAAGTCTTAAAGCAAGGATAGGATCCAGTTCACATGGGTCAGGCAGTGCACTGAAGGGACTCTGTGCATATCCAGGAGAGAGCCGCTGGGGTCCTGATTGCAAGAAGCGCATTGTGCCTCTGCTATTACTGGATATCCTGAGAGGAAGGAAAGAGGGGGAGGAGGGGAGAAAGGAGGGGGGGGGGGCTCAGGGGACGTATTTCCTGCAGCCTCTGCTTCTGACAAGGTAGGAGTGTCAAGGAGAAGGAAAGGGAGGAATTAAGAACAAGGTGAAGTGAGAAGGAGAGGTAACTGCGGAAGAATACAAAAGGAGACACAGGGAAAAGGTGAGGCATGAAGAGAAAGAAAGTGTAGCGTAGTATGATGAGGAAGAAGATTGAAAGAAATAGGAGCAGTGACAGGGATGGATGCGAATCCCGGCAGTCTCTTGGCAAACTTGGCAAACAGGAGAGGAAGAGAAGTACAAGGGTACAGGGGGGTAAAAGAACTTCAAAAACCACACTTGTACACCTCACACGAACGTCAGTCTCTCGTCTCTTTCACTGCTCCCAGTCCTTTCCCTCTCACTCATCCTGTTCTACTTTTCTCTCTCAGCTGTACGGAATGACCGCAACAAGAAGAAGAAGGATGTGAAGGAGGAGGTAGTGGTGCCGGAGAGCTATGAGCTGAGCTCAGAGCTGGAGGAGCTGGTCAGTAAAGTCAGCAAGGCTCATCAGGAGACCTTCCCCTCGCTGTGCCAACTGGGCAAATACACCACTGTGAGTAATTCACACTACCACACACTCGTAACACAGTTAATCAGTTATTAACCAGTAGCTCTTATCTGACGCAATTTGCCAAAATGTACAGGGTTGAACTATTGTTGGCTGACAATCGGGCCTTGTCTTCACATGTCATCAAAATGATGGAGCAAATGCAGGTGAAGAAACTTATAGTGCTTCAGTGCGTCACTGATATTGCACAAGGACAGCACACAGTTACAGGGCCTCTGAATACATATAGACACGAATGTACTTCTGTCCTGGGTCACACACCCTTCTGTGTGCAGTCTTCATGTCTGCATGTGTCTCACTCTTTCTCTCTCTCTGTCAGAACTCCAGCGCTGATCACCGGGTGCAGCTAGACCTGGGGCTGTGGGATAAGTTCAGTGAACTGTCTACCAAGTGCATCATCAAGATCGTGGAGTTTGCCAAGAGACTGCCAGGATTCACCACACTCACCATTGCTGACCAGATCACTCTGCTCAAGGCTGCCTGCCTTGACATCTTGGTACGCCCACTCTCTCTACCTCTCTCTCCATCACAGTCTACCTCTATCACTCTCCCTCTCTTCCCTGTCTCTGTTACTGCGTCTTTCTGTCCCTCTCAGACCATATTGTCCCAATCAAACACGTACCCACCAGCCTTTTTACCCCATTTCTGTCCCCCTTAAGTGAAGACAGAAGCTTTGCACATGCCTGGAAAATTAAATGTAAGAAAATGATGTAATCTTCCATACTCCTGTACCTCTTTCCACTGTTTGGCTCTTTCACTTACTGCTCTATACTGTGGCTACACTTACACCCAGTGGTGACGAGCAGTACTGCAGCCATAGCCCAAGACCATATGAATTGTGGGTAGTCCAGACAGTCCTAGTGTTTAGAATACAGTTGATTCCTGAAAACCACTGAACCGATTTTATGGTAGAAACATTCTGAAAAGGGGATTGGCTCATGTACTAAGGCCGAATAACATATTTTTACTAAAATGGCCAAAAGTTTGAGTTCAGCCAATTATACACAGGTTCCCCATATGACTGTGTTCAATGGAATACTTTGACAGGACAGGACAGGAATTCAGAACCGCCATGAAATTGTAAGATGTTGATTTGTAAATTTAGCACTACACATTTGGCACGAAGAAAACTAGTGGTTTATGCCCCGTGCACAGTAAAATATAATAACAATCAATTGTTCACTATTGCTGCCAATGATCTGACTGCATGAACAGTTGAACAGTATAATTTATCTGAAGGTGTCGTCTCGGGTTTTGTTTTGTTATTTCAGTGGGAATAACAACACCCAGAAATTAAGTGTACCGAAAGGATTTAATAAGTGTTTAGTGAACATTTGGCATAACCCGCTTGTCTGAGGACTAACCTCCTGGCGACAGGACGAGGAGGCTAGGATTCTCTTGCAAAGTGAGGAGTGACCAAGGTGGAGATGGGGTGGAGGTGGAATGCAAAAAGAAATATGCGAGGGAGAGAAGGGATCAGGATCTAGTACAGTATTTCTAGTGTTTTAGGAGAGGAAAAGACATCTGGAGTCATTGCAAATTACTGACAGCTGGGTCTGATTGAACTTGGTTGTTGTCATCCCTCCCAGACTGTTGTTATAAACTCCATATCTTCAGAGTCATGGTCACAGACTGCCTTTCTTAACAACAGCCAGCCCTTCTGAAGCAGAAACATAATAAGTAAATGATGTAAAAAGATGTTATTAAGAAAATAGTTTGTGCCTTTTCCTTTATCTTTCCCTCTCTCTGTCCCACTCCTTCTCTGACCTCTCTCCTTTTCTTCCACACCCCTCCTCTGTTGCTGTGATGGATTTATGACAGTGCCCGTGACAGTCAGCCATCTTGAAAGTGCGTGCCTCACTCTTCCTCTCAGATGCTGCGGATTTGTACTCGCTACACGCCAGAGCAGGACACCATGACCTTCTCAGATGGGCTGACGCTTAATCGCACACAGATGCACAACGCCGGATTCGGGCCACTCACCGACCTGGTGTTTGCTTTCGCTGGCCAGCTGCTGCCCCTGGAGATGGACGACACTGAGACCGGCCTGCTCAGTGCCATCTGCCTCATCTGTGGAGGTAATCCACAGCTTGGAGTTTGGGGGGGTGTGTCTGGCTGTGTGGTTGTGTGATTGTTGAGCACATGTTGTGTCTCACTTTGAGCATGTGGCCGTGACTCTTGCTGCATCTCTGTCTGTGAGTGTGACCGGGTCTCTGCGCGTTGTTCAGATCGTATGGACCTGGAGGAGCCCCAGAAGGTGGACCGGCTGCAGGAGCCGTTGCTGGAGGCCCTGAAGCTGTATGCTCGGCGCCGGCGCCCCAACAAACCACACATGTTCCCTCGCATGCTGATGAAGATCACTGACCTTCGTGGGATCAGCACCAAAGGTCAGTACAGTGCAGCCGTATGGCACTGTACCACAGTACACACTACACAGCAGGACAACAGAGAGACACTGGATGGAGCAAATGGACATTCCAGTACAGCACACAGAGAGTGCAGTACAGCTCATCGGTACACGGCTCTAAAACCTGTGTTCTCTCTCTCTCTCTGCCTGCAGGAGCGGAGCGTGCCATCACTCTGAAGATGGAGATCCCGGGACCCATGCCGCCGCTGATCCGGGAGATGCTGGAGAACCCGGAAGCCTTTGAGGACAAACAGCAAGAGGACAGCGAAAGCACTCCTCCCGTCCGCCCCCCTGCCGTGGTCAAGCAGGAGCGAGAGGAGGAGGAGGGGGCCGAGAGTGGAACGGATCCCCCTGACGAGGACGAGGAGGAAGATGAGGGCCTCAGAGGAGAGAGGGAGGAGGAGGAGGAGCGGGAGTGGGACAGCGAGGGGGAGGCACGGGGACAGCCGTCCAGCAGAGAGGCCGCCAGGAAGAACCTTGTGGGACGAGCACAGTAATCACCTCAAAATCACATCCCTCGTCCCCAAAACCCCACAGCCCTCTCCTCCCATCCCCTCTCATATTCTGCACAGACTGGGGCACTGCCCCCATCCCCTTCCCTCCAGCCCCACCTTGGCCATCCCAGAGTCAGGGCAGGAGAAGAGACTGGACCACCCGTTAAACACTCCCTGCCTGGAGACCCAGTCGTACATCACAGACAATGACAAGGAGATGGAATGAAACAGAGAGCACCTCATGGATGGCTGAATGGGAGAGCTAGAGAATGAGGGAGAGAAAGAAATCCTGGCTCCTTAGATAAGGAGAGACAACTCTTTTTTCTCATTTATATTTAAGAAAATGTTTTTACAAAAACTGCCAAAAAGGTGAGGCAAATAGATGGCAGAGGATGCCTTACTGCCATTATCCTCTCCAGGTTGCAGTGATGCAAGAAACCAGCAGGGGGCACTAAAGTGCTGCCTAAAAACAAAACTTTCTAAAAACCAATAAGCCAACCAAACAGAACATAATAATCACTTTTGTATTGTTTTTTCTTTTTTTTTTTAAAAAAATGATATTCACATTCTCATACTCTTTATATGTTTTTTATGGTATGTATACACACAATTATATATATTTTTTGTCTTTGTTGTTTATGGTTTTTGTATTCACCCTCCTGTTTGACTAGCCTGCCAGGGAGAGAGTCAAGACTCTTACCCTGCTAGTGTCCCTGTTCCTCTACAGCACCTTCTTCCAATTAGCAGCACAACTACAGACTGTGCTGCTGATTGGGTAACACTGTCTGTGCCAAACTTAGCATTCTTTTGTGTCATTTTGTTAAGGAGGTTGGATGCTACAAATGAGTGGAAGCCATTCTTCTGTCCGAACAGCTGTCTTCCTCTTCCTCCAAATTTCTGCTGCTGTGTCTTGAGATTCATCCATATAACCCAGCCATCCCTGCAATCCAAAACATATCCCACCTTTCTATTCTCGATTACCAGAGAGGTGCACTAAATGGATAGACTGTGCTTATTTGTTCCAGGACACAATGTAACAGCAACCCCATTCCTGTCTGGCCATTTGAAGCACTTAAAGCACAGCATACATACAATACTCTATAAATGCATACGATTAACTTTAGTATTGCATTGTGTGCTAAGCTGTATCTGGTTCCTTGGTTCCTGCTTTCCAGATGTTTGGAGAGATTGTTTATGCCTCAGCGTTGGGCAGTGGGCCAGAGGTCAGAGGTCACGACCTATATCTATGCAGGGTATTGAAGGCCCCTTGATGCATCTCTGTTTTATGCCACTAAGAATTAAGGACTAAGGAAATTAATGGGATCCATTTTTCTGTGGATTAACTCAGTTTGTGAGGACCTGTAGGATACCTGTAGTGGTCACACAAACAAACACCTCTTTGATTCCATAAAAGACACGTCTTCACAGGAGCAGTAAAAACAGGGATGCCATCTTCCTGTGGGAGAAGAATGTACAATGGGGACACCACCCTGGACTAAAAAGTTGTCGGGAAGAATTCAGTCATAGCCTCCACTGGGCATCTCTCATTGAGCTTTGTGCATCCATGACTTGGATGTCTTCAGCATTTTGCTTTAAATCAAAAGCTCACAAAAGTCACTTCAAATTCATACACAGGCTCCAAAAAGAACATGTTATAAATAAAACAACTCAACCAAATAAAAAAACAATACTACTACCAGTTAGGCCATGGATTCACAATCTCTTTTCTTTTTTGTATTCCGATGCAGCCAGCGCTACTGTGAGAGGATCAAACCCTAGCTGTCCTCTGCAATACAGGACAATACAGTTCTCAGACATGTCCTTCTGTTAGTGCCAGTACGCAGTGCAAGGAGACTGTGTGAGAGCACCTAGAGACCACTATCATGCAATCAGTGTGTGGGTCTAGTTTTTTCCAAATGTAGGTTTTTTTTCTCTTCTTCCAGAGCACAATTCAGAGGTCATAGGATGCAGCCAGCCGGTTACTGTCAGTTGTGTTTCTCTGTCTTAATTATTCCATTTCAAGATGTTTCACGTTTTAATTACTCCATTTTTTTTTTGTTGAAGGGAACAAAAATGCTAAAATGCTCTTCCCCATTCTGCTAACAGTAGCACCTACACATGCACTAAATCTCAGGAAAGATCCTAAATCCAACCTTTGGGGAGTGAAGCTGCACGTTTCTCTGCAGTTCATGTGCTGAGGCAGCTCCCCACTCTACCAGCCATAGACAAAAGATTGCACTTCATATGTATTATAAAAGGAGGCTCAGTATATCTGCATATATCGGTATACTGTAGCAGGGGGGACACGGCAGCTTTGGAGAGCTCTGTTTAACAAGCCGTGACAAACTGTTCCCTGCAGCCTCTTTAGAGTATGTTACCTTATTTACACGAGGACATACAGAATTTCATTGAGTTCAATAAAATTATTTATTGGGTTAATGGAAAAAAAGAAAGAAAAGATCTTGAAATGCAATCGAGTGAGAATTGCTCCTCCCAGTTTTTCTGTTGTGATCAGGCACTGTGTTTTTAAAATACCATGTGTTAGCTGGGCCTGGTGTGCAGCTCGGGAGCGAACTTTTTTAAACGTAAGCCTTTGGTGCTGTTACACTAAAGGAATGATGTTTGCCAAAAGAAAAGAAGCTGTGTTTTGTGTATTTTTTTCCACAGCTCAGCTGGGGACTTCTGTTCATTCTGTCAAACACTATCTTGCTAAAGAAATGTCATTTATACAAAGAATGGGGTTTTTGGAAAATAAACTGCTTTTGTAAGCTCGTTATTAAGTTGGTAATCCTTTTTTTTTAATGCTGTCGCCATTCTTAGTCTTTACACTCCAGATGATGGCACCCTGAATGAAAGTCTGGAACCATTTACTTACTGTCTGTGGTTTTGCAGTGCCCAGTGCATGCACCGCCTCTCTTCAACTGACCCTGGGACTTCGCTGTGATTTTTATCGTATGCCACTGCAAGTGTTCAGTGGAGTGTGCCCTCCACTGTCGTTCTATATGGCAGGTTTGCAGAAAGTGTCTTTCAAACAAAAGCTGGCTGTTGTATACGGTAGACCTTGTGCAGACCAAGCTGGACCGGAGTTACAGTGGTTTTTGAAGACCTCTAATCAAAGACACTGCTACGGGCTTAATGTAAGTGCAAGCTGTACCTTTTCATGAAGTGTTATGCACTCACTTGGTGAAAACAGATCTCACTATATGCTTCAGTGTTGTTTTTCTTACACCGGTAACCGATGATTGCGCTTTTTTAATACCTCATGATGAACACCAGAGGGAGCCAGTGCACCACAGGTGGAGGGAAGTGCTCTCGCACCGCTTTAGTTAACGCTGACAGCCCGGTTGCGGAGCGGAAAGGTACATGACTCAACCCTGGAGAACAGTCTGCAGGCTGACAGCAACCAGGCATGGCTGTTGGCACACTGTAATCCAACAGTCAACAAAAACATCTTCACTATTATAAAGTTGTGCTCCAAAAAGTCAGAGATTATGCTGAAAAACAAGCTTAGGTTATAAAGCAGTATTTGTGATGCTTCATTTTGTATAGTTTCGTGTACAGAGTGCTACTACAACATCCACATCCACATGTCATGCTCAGTGCCCCTGTCAAACTGGTGCCTAGAGAGAAATCCTATACTGCTGGAGGGGAGGACACCTAAATAATCGTAAAGCTTTATAAGAGGAGGTATGAGAGACCCTGTGCTGTGCCCCCCTGTCTCTTAAGACAGGCAAGCTGATGGGGGTATTTAGGATAGGGGGGCTATTTACACGTGTGTTAGAGAGAAGGCTGCATGGCCTTGTGTGCTTATCCTGCCATCTATACAGATAGATGCCCCCAACACATGCACTGGGACATGCAACCTGCACAGACAATACACCCACACAGCATGGGGACACCAAGCATGCACACACAAATGCACATATTTGTCAAATCACTCTTTTACAAGCAGACATGCAGGTAGAGTCGCAATGCCCATGACACAATCTTAACACTCACACATTCACCCCTCTCTGCACTGTAGCCCAGCGCCCCATGGCTGGATGATAGATGCCGGTGACAGAGTGGTCATTTTTATTAATAGGAAGAGAGAGGGGGGCGATAAACTGAGATAGGATTCTATTAATTAAATGATTGCGATAATTAACTTTCATTAAATGAAGATCGATAAAGCAGCGCAGGAATGTAAGCAGCGTCCATACATTATGCTCTGTTTTACAAGGAAACACTAAATGACCTCGTATATTAAAACCAGAATAAGATGTGTTTCCATGGGAATGCTGGGTGATGGGTGTGGGGGGGGGTTACTTAAAGAGACAGTGACTTGTGTATTCATTTTTTGGTGGATTAGACCAATATAACCCTGGTGCACACAGAGCACACCAGGAGGCTGATTGGTGCCTTCAAGTGCAAAATACACCAAAGTATAATCTAGCTGGATATGTATTTCAATTCACTTTCATATCCGCTGCCCTTATCTTCCCCGTCTACATGCAGAACTGCAGGGAGAGAAACAGAGGAAGAGAGAGGGGAGGGGAGCAAAGCATCAAAGAGAAACTAGGGAAGACAGCAAGTAACAGGATGAGGATGAGGAGGAACGCCCTGATACACTGTCTCAGCAGAAGAAGCATGATTGGCGAGGCCAGTTGTATTCAGATAAAAAGAGCTCCTGTAGACACAGATCATCCTTCCATCCATCCATTTTCTAACCGCTTCATCCAGTTCAGGGTCACAGGGGGGCTGGAGCCTATCTCAGCAGGAGCCTATCTCAGCAGGTAACAGGGGCAAGGCAGGCTACACCCTGGACAGGACACCAGTCCATCACAGGGCAAGCACTCACACTCAAACCAGGGTCAAATGACCTACTCGTATGTCTTTGAACTGTGGGATGAAATCATATCACCCAGAGTAAACCCACGCAAACATGGGGAGAACATGCAAACCGCACGCAGACAGCGCCTCAGGTCCGGAATTGAGCCCAGGCCTCAGCGGTGTGAGGCAGCAGTGCTGACTACTGCGCCACCTTGTTGCCCACAGACTGACCAATACAGTTCAAATGCTTAGTAAGTACAGAACATTACTGCAACACAAAAGGAAGACATAATCCATCACCACCTTCCTCAACACCACCTGCTGACCACATCTGCTCTGCAGCAGCTGGAATTAACCTCCCCTAGCCTGATTGCCAGTTGTTTCCAGATGTGCCCCAGAGTTTTGTGATCTCAGGGTCTTAATATGGTCTTAAGGATCTAATGTGTCTTAATATGGGGAGAGGGGCTGTCCATTGTGGGAGGTGGATATATACATACAGATCTATTCATCTATAGGATTTTAAATGAAAGAAAACTAACTTCAAGAGCAGCGAGAATATTTAGACTTCAAGTTAAAATGGCGGTTCAGTTTTTGGACACCACACAAGAAGTTTACTGCCATGGAAAGTGTAGGAGAAAGAGCTGTCAGAACAGTCCCAGGAATGTCACAAGCAGGCAAGGGCTGGGAGAAACCGAATCCCTCTACTGAATAGCGGAGTTCACGCTGGGTTTGAAACGCACCCAGGTTTTGACAAAGCCAACGCCCAGAACTCAGCAATGAAATGACGTCCCTCGGTCACAAGAGGAGATTCCGAGCAGGTGGATTTGGGATGGAAAACGGGAGGCAATGCTTTACACGGACCCACACGCGTGCAGTTGGAGCCGTTTCTCATGGCTCTTTCAGGAAACAGCGCCGCGAGACCCTGGAACAGCCAAACCAAACACAACACAACCAAAGGAGCCAGACGACCCCAACGGCCTCCCCTCGTCGCAACCCCTCATGTCTTCTCATGGTCCGAGCACTCGTCTGCCTCGAGCACGCGTGTGCCGCTTTCCACATGACGCCACTAACTGCCCACCTGCTCCTGTTCATTCCACACTAACAAGGTGCCCAGTGTCACAGAGGGGCAGGAGCGCCGGAGGGAATTAGTGGTGACGGAGGCCGGCATGCGAGGGGAGATCACCGCAACTCTCTTGGCAAACAGAACCACAGACGCCCAGGTGGCACCTCACAGACTCACAGTGCAGCACTGCTGGGGTGACAGAACTCCAGCAGGGACAGAGAGAGGAGGACAGGAGAGAGGAGAACATGAGGAGAGAGGGGAGGAGGAGGTGAGAGCGGAGAGCAGAAAGCAGAGGGGAAGAGTAGACAGAAAAAGAAACGAGAAGAGGAGAGGGCACAGAGGAGGGCTGAGGAGATGAGAGCAGATTGAGTTTTGCACTCGGGTGCTCCTCCGAGATATCAGAGTGAAGGTCAGGAGAAGGTGAGGAACGTTTCAGAAGGAGGGAGGCAGTAAATTTTATACCTGCGTGAAATATTAAACAGAGAGATAAAGTGAGAGAGACGCAGAGTGGGCGAGGAAAGAGAGAGAGAGTGTGGTGTGCCCTCAGGTCTTCTTATCTTTTACATTTCTAATTAAAACAGATAAAGAAGGAGAGAGGGTCGTCAATCCCTCAGCGATTTCTCTGTTCAGGTTTTAGAGGGGTCCATAAAACAGGCAGGGCAGCGCGATTGATTTTGTAATTAGCTCTCGTCACTGCAGCTTTCCAGCTCGTGGAGCGATACACTGAGAGGAAGGGAGAGAGGGCTGCTGGAGGGGGACAGGTGACAGAGAGACAGATAAAGAGGTGGGAGAGCGACAGTGCACTCCAGTCAGGTACAGTCTCAGTCCCAGCCCAGACAAGCCCAGTCCCTGTCCAGTCCATTCCAGTCCAGTCCAAGCCAGTCCAGGCCAGCTGAACCAACTTCAATGCAGTCCTCTCTATTCTCAGATCACTGCACGCACACTTGGGGAAAAAGAGACAGCAGACACGGAGCCCACGGTGTACAGTCTGGTCTTTATTGCAGCAACTCGGCACAATCACACAGCATAGCAGAGCAGGACAGTCTGCGACACTGAGGAGGAGTTAATCCTTAATCAACCAGACACGAACAAATTCTCTAAGTAAGAACAAAGCACGCCACCGATAGATGCCTGTGGATCTTACAACAAGCTCTCGGGACCTGCTCTTTGAGGATCACGGTGTTTGCTAGCTTGCATTCTGCCCTTTAAATAGTTATTCAAACTCCTTACCCACTTAAACTCAACAAACCATTGTTCTAGAGAGACAGTAGGTAATTATTCATTCTAAGGAATCCTTCTGATAACCACCACAACCCACCAGAGAACTAAAATATAAGAAGTAAAATGGGACAAAAACAACAACAGCAATAATACAATAATAAGTATTACAGTAATAATAAAAGCTGTTCTGATTACAATCAGTTTCTTAAATGTGATATTCCACCTAAAATCAACTAGTACAGTAAATATCTGGTACAAGAAATCTGTGCAAGGTAACAGTAAATATATCAGGCAGTATGAAGTAAGCATCTTAAGTTTTAAAAATTAAAATTGAAAATTTTGAAGAATAAAACATTCAAACCAAAAAGCTTCCCTCCCTGTCTCTCCGTCACTCCAACTCCCACCCTCTGCCTCTTTCTCCCATCTTTCTTCAGGACATTCCTGAAAATACAGCTCCCGCCCCCGCCTCCCGAGCTCTGGTCCCTGGTAGCACCTGTAGCTATTGCTTATAAGAACCAGAGCCGACAGATAAAAAAATCGAATAACAGCTGTATAAGCGACTGGAATAGGTCATACAAAATATATGCACTTTAGAAAATCAAAAGTCTTATTTTTGGTATCTCAAAGCTATAAAATCTCTGCACAGCCGCTCTCTTTTTGCTAAGCAGTTTAAATTTAACCTTAGAAAAATACAAATGAAGTGACATGTGACCCAGTCCCACCCACAACCCACCTGTCAGGTATTCCTGAGCTTATTTAGAACATCTGACCTTTTCAGCTGCTAAACTGATGCTGAAATTGAATTCTGTCAATATAATAATAATAATAATAATAATTATAATTGCTTACACTTATATGGCGCTTTTCTGGACACTCCACTCAAAGCGCTGTACAAGTAACGGGGATCCCCTCCACCACCCCCAGTGTGCAGCCCCACCGGGATGATGCGACAGCAGCCATAGTGCGCCAGAACACTCACCACACACCAGCTCTCAGTGGGGAGGAGAGCAGAGTGATGAAGCCAATTCATAGAGGGGGATTATTAGGAGGCCATGATTGGTAAGGGCCAATGGGAGATTTGGCCAGGACAATTATAGGGTCATGCTAGTCATATCTGAAAACATATTTCAGTGCAGCCCTTTACGGGTTTGATGGTGCAGATACACATCTAAAATAAAGCAGAAATTGATAACCGTGAAATGTAAGCCAACGAGGCTGCTTGCCTGAAAGTCAGCCCAGGAAGTTGAGTATTTACACACAAAATTTAAAAGTTGAACCTTTTTGTTTAAAAGAAACCCTCAGTCCGTAAACACAAACACGCACTCATACAATTACAAAAAATAAGACTCCTGCAGCTTGCTGGAGCTACGTTACATTATTTAACTGCAGTCTGTCTGTGCCACATCACTGATCGATCAGCGCATGGCATGGGTGTGTATACCAGTTACATCTGTGTGTATATTAACCGAGTATCGACTGTGTGCATCAGTTACATAGAGTGCACTGTTTCTAGTGTAATAGCTTTACTTTGCGCAGAGGTGTAGCAATTTGTGTAGTCATTGTGTGTAGTAACTGAAAGTGTATATAATATTGTATTATTTGCTGTAAAAAATTCCCTTGCTTCTCTACCGCCATCTTGTGGTCATCTCGGGGATGGCAGTCTCTGCACTCAGTTCCACAAGGGGGAGCCAGAGCGCTCACTGAAAGAGAGAGAGAGAAACGTTAATCCAGTTCCTGGTGTAGGGGGGCAGAGATTCTCTATAAGGAATTCCATAAGTCCCACTCAGCCTTTTCGTCTGCTTCTGCCAACATGGTCCATCATGGGATCCAAAGAATTTCTCCGTCTCTATTTCAGAGTATTTGCTGCTAGCCTAAGCCTCCTCATTTAGAATTAACCAATTGAACGGAGAGGGCAGCGCAGTGGCGCACTGGTTAGCATTGCTGCCTCGCAGCACTAGGGACCCTTTGCTCAATTCTGGACCGGGGGTGCTGTCTGGGTGGTGTCTGCACGTTCCCCTCATGCCTGTGTGGGTTTCCGCCACATGCTCCTCTTTTCCTGCCACAGACCAAAGACTGGCAGGTTAACTGAAATCTAGGAAAACTGGACCTGGTGTGTGTCTGTAACTGTGTGTGTGCCCTGCGATGGACTGCTGTCCTGTCCAGGTTGTGTCCTGCCCTGCGCCTGCTGCTTGCCAGGATAGGTACCGGATCCTCCCCAACCCAGAGCTGGAGAAAGCGGTTAGAAAATGGACGGACAGATGATTCATTGAGGAGGTAGTCCAGCTTTCTACATACATATAACAATACTGATACTGACCAGGTGGAAACATCAGTAGTAGACACTGTAACTTGTACTGTACGTGCAAAGAAAAATAATAAACAATTAATCAAGAGTAAATTTTGAATAAAAATGCATTTGTTTAAAATGAGACGACAAATCTCACATTTGCACAACACAGAAACTCTGAGCTTGGACACTCTGGATCCCAGAACGCACCATGCTGACAGGGACAAACCCTTCCATGAAATATTAAAGCTCAGCTGACCATCACGGCCACAGACC